AAAGGACCCTGGCCTGCAAGGCCGGGACTTCCAGGTTATAAAACCTTGCGAATGTGGACGGCGAGGCCCAGCCGGCCGCCTCACAAATATGGACACAATGGACACACTGGACACAATGGACACACCACTGGACCATGCCCAAGACGAGGCGATGCCTCTAGTAGAGTGGGCCCATACTCCAATGGGGCATTGAAGGCCCAAAGGAGAGCACGCTAGCGAGATGGAGTCTACTATCCATCTAGAGAGTCTTTCGTCAGATCGCTCAGACCTGGTTGCTTAGTTCATAGGCTTTGCTGTTTCTCTCTCCAAGGCTAGCTGAGAGAGGAGAAACGGGAGAGCGGGACTGCCTTCAGTGAAAGGCGGTCGGCGAGTGGAGAAGAGCGAGACTCATGCTCTGAATGAGCATTCTGTCTCAGTAAGCGCGCAGCTCACTGCCCTTCTGCGGCGGATCCGAGTGCAACGGGGAGAGAGAGCACGCAGGCACAGTGCCGGCATGAGATCGGTCAACCCGGTTGCTTATTCCCTGACTCCGCTGTTTCCCTCTCCGAGGCTCGCTGAGAGAGGAGAAACGGGAGAGCGGGGATGTCTTCAGTGAAGGCGGTCTGCGAGTGGAGAAGGGCGAGACTCATGCTTTAAACGAGAGCATTCCATCTCAGTGAGCGAGTGGTCTCTGCGTGGGGGCTGCCCAGACAGGTGACTGCACTCACTGCCCTTCTGCATCGTGCAAGATTCCCTGCACGAGCCACACTCGCAGCGCGACATTTGCAACAACGTCGCAAGAATTTGCTCTTTTAGGGCTTACCTGCTAGAAATAAGCTCTTTCAGTATCGCCGGATGGCGGCAGGGGAACAGGACCGGAACTGCTGCGATGCTGAGGCGCAAAGAGAGCTGGTCAGCCGAGCAGGGAGGTCTCAATCCAGCTGTGAGGTGTGTCAACGGCGAGCAGGCTTTCAGGATCAGCGATGAGCGTAGAGTCATCGCTGAAGGAGAAGAAATCTGAGAATCCTGTGGCGAACGCCCGCTTATATAGCCAGATGCCCCGCCCATATTGGCGGGCTTTGGCAGGCTTGGCAGGCTTCGTCGCCATAGGCTCGTGCAGCTCCGCTGCCTAGCCATTGGTTCGTTTTTAATACACTGCACGAACCAATGGCCGTGCAGTTTCACTGCGTGAATGAAAA